CATTTCTACCTTTTTTCTCCTATTTTGTCCACTTTAAGTAATGCCTGTAGGCTTGTCTTTTAGAAATTAATATCTTTACGTTTTAAAACTCTGCAACGTTCTTTTCTTTAATGACTCTTTCAAGGATCGTTCCAATTTTTTGTCGTCGTAGTTCTAGAAAAATCTTTGGGTACAGAGTACCCCTTCACTAATGACCCCTATATTTTACTCTATGATGACAAAACATTTCTCCATAGAGTACATAGAATTGTAATGTAAGTGGGTGAGCTGGCGCCACTTTTAAGCATTTTCCAGGTCCCGAATTCCGAGACTCCTGGGTGACGCCAGGTCACTTTTTCGATACATAATCGATTGTTGGCGATACACGGGTACCCGGCCACCCGATGTAAACAAAGAAGATAGGAATCACCACGTATTCCACACTGCCATTTTGGATCGAACATATATCGAAAAAGTGACCCGAACTCGGCGCACATCGGACTCGGAACTCGTTGAGCAGAACATGGCGCCAGCTCTCCCTTTTACATTACGACTCTATGTACTCTATGCATTTCTCGTATATGTATGTTTCTTAGGTTAAGCTCCACGTTTATTTCAACAAAGTCTTGCAGCGCTCTCTTCCATCCGCGCAAAATCACGTTTACATATTGACGAGGTGCTACGGTAAACGCTCTCCAACGTCTCAACGTTGGAACCGTCGTGTCTTGTTTTTCTATTTTGATACGCAGCACTCAACAGCCGCATCGATGTCCCATTCTGATCAGCTCATTTTGCTCTTGGAAATAGAGCTTTTTTAATTTGCTTACTTACCAGCGGTCAACAAGTTCATTGGCAACCCTCTCCGAAGCCCCCATTGTCGAATTTCTTGAGTATGATCGACTCACTTTTTTTGCAAACGTTAGAATCCAATTCCGACAAGCGTTAAGACGGGAGCGTAATTTGCGTCCAAGGCGGTCGGTGAAACCCGACTCCTCCGTCCTAAGTTTTTTACTGATAGTCAAAACTAGTTCCGATGGCGCATCATTGGTAAAAATCCGAAAAATTAACTTTCATCGAGTTTCTACTGCGAATTTCCACTTAGTACCGCGCTTTTGAGCAAACAAACATCAATATTTTCAAAATATGGCAATTTATTGGGCTTTGGTGAATGAATTCAACAGAGCCACTCATGTTCCTTGAGAAATCTGGTAACCAGCATAAAATTTACTGATAACTATAACCATGCGCCTTGTGGTCACCACCAGTAGGAGCCTGGCTACTAAAGGAGGAGTATCGTTTTGGGCCTTTTCGGCCCCACCTGGATTTTGCTGAATGTTTCATATTTTCAAAGTACTAGTCCTCGGTAGACTCTATGCCAAATATTTTACCGCACGGAGCTCATGCAAAGGTGCAACAACGCCTCAAACCCAAAATCCTGGCATCGAAAAATAGTTACTTTCGTCGACTTTTTCGACTGTTATCACTCTTCCAGCAGATGATTCCTATGTATTTTTTTGCGTCCTTCCCGTTTCTGGCCTTTAAAAAGGCCTCTGATAATTTTTAAGGGGTACGGTCCATTGTTGCCATTTTTGGCCCATTTTTAAGGGTTTTTTTCAATTTTACACACGCAGAACTCAATTTTAACTAAAAACCGTATAAGTTTTTGAAAAGGACACAAAAGAATGAATGAAAACTGTTAGTGAATCTTTTTTCTACGTTGCCAAATTTTCGAGCAATCGTTTCAAAGAGCCAAAAATGGCCAAAATTTGATAAATTGCCACGCCTAAGGTTCTTTGCAGCTTTGCATAGGCTCCGTTCGGTAAAATATTTGGCATAGAGTCTACCTAGGACTAGTACTTTGAACATATGAAACATTCAACAAAATCCAGGTGGGGCCGGACAAGGCCTAAAACGATACTCCTCCTTTCCTTGGGAGCACATCGACTGCCAAAGTGTGAAACCGCACATATCTATATTGCGTTGCTTTAAAATGTCCACTCCTGTTTCATTTTTTCGAGGAAAGACAACCCAACTTTATGCCTTGCAATTTTTACAGAATATTTAACTAACCAGGCGGATGCTCAAGGAAGTTTTCAAGAAATTACTATGACTATAATTTAGAGACAATACACATGTAGTATGACAGGAAGGGGGTTCTGCCCAGTCGCAAACGGAGATGCGTGTTTTCGCGCTTTAGCCGTCGCACAGTGGATCGAGTCAATAGGAAAGGTCGGACAAAATTTGGAAACTTTAAAAGCTTATACCTCCGTTTATACAAAAATTTGAGATTTTAAAAGTGGTTCCATTGGTTTCCTCGTCAAATTTTTTTCTGATGGCACAACTCAAAATTGAAAATGTGACGAAATAAACATCAAAATTTGAAGTTTTATTCAAAATTTCATGTCCGACCTCTTCTATTGACTCGATCCAGTTTGCGTCGATACGATACTTAATCAAAATTTCACGTAGAACACGATTTGCGCAACGAAAATTACTAAAATTAACTCCTAACCAAGATATTCGACGTTTTTTGACGCGTTAACTCAAAACTTCTGCTCATGAAAACGCATCGGTCTACGATAGTCAAATCGCGCACTAAACGTTACTATGACGGTCTCTGCTATATGAAAGCTGGCAACCTTTATCTTGATGCTTTGGCTCACAATCAGCTATAGCAAGTTATTCATAGTTAGAACAACGCGGGGTGGGAAAGGGATAGTGTTCGATTGAGAAGCATGCCGAAACCGTTGTAGTACGCGATTGGACTGATTTTGAGTATTGCGTTTCTTGTGACCGAGCAATTCTTTCCCGTGCCAATGTTGAATCAAAACGTTGATATCTTAGTTAGGAGTTGATTTTAGTAATTTTCGATGCAAGAATCGTATTTTACGTGAAATTCTGGTTGGTACATATGTCAGAATCCTTGAATTCGTACCCTCTCTGGTAGTCCATTATTTTTGGGAAGTCATCTAAACCGCTCAGTTATCCAAACTTGCACGGACAAGACTTACGTCTCGTCAAACTTAACGATCCAGATGGACCACTAGATAAGGTACGAATATCAGCATTCTGATACATGTTTCTTAACTAAAATTTTACGTAGCACACGATGCAAATAACGAAAATTACCGAAATTAACTCCTTACGAAGATTTTTAATGATTCTTAATGCGTGAATTCAAACCACCCACTCGATAACTCAATGCTCTACGTGGTTCACATCGCGCGCTAAACGTTATCATAACAGTCTCTACGATATACAAATATGGCATCCTCAATCTTGACACTTTGGCTCAGCTACAGCAAATTGCTTATAGTTTGAACAACACTTGGTGGGACATGATCATTGCTCGACTGAGAAGCTCGCTGAAACCGTTGTAGTGCGCAATTTGACTCACGTAGGGCTTTGAGTTTCTTGTGAGCGGGCAGTTCAAATTCTTCGCAATCAATGTGAAATAAAAACGTTAATATCTTCCTTAGGAGTTGGTTTCAGTCATTTTCGTTTTGCAAATCGTGCTCTACGTGAAATTCTGACTAGGATACAAGCATCAGAATGCTTAAATTCGTACCTTGTCTAGTGGTCCATCACTGGTAAAAAAAAACCTCTTGGACCAATGCCGCATTGCATTGACTTAAGAGTGCAGTTTCTTTTCGCCGGATTTAAGAGTCTTGAACTCTTGTTTCAAACGGATTTTGCATTGATTCAATCGGATTTTGCATTGATTCAAGCGGATTTTGCATTGAAACAAAGAGTCCAGACTCTTCAATCCGGCGACAAGAAACTGCACTCTTGAACCAAGAGGTTTTTTTACCAGTGATTGAAGAAAAACGTATGTGTACTTTTGAACATTGAAGCCGCAGTTACGAAAACACAACCGAGAAGAAATACGTTCACTCCCTACAATTTTTTTTCTTTAGGGGGAGCAACGGATGGATTGGAAAACTCACCTGCCTAGGAGAAGGACTGGTCTCGAAACTCTGTTGGGAATTTGAAAACCGTCGAACTATTTATGCGGATTTTTGGGCTTCGCGGTCTTTTCCTCAAAGATATCCTCGTTTTCTGATTCGGCACCCCGAGATTTTTCCCTGATCGATACTCCGATCGTCTGGAGGTGAACAATGTACCGTTTGATCGCAAAACCCCGAGGCGTTAACCGGAAAACCGGTGCTTTACGAGAAAAACGGAAAACAGGCCCATTTCATGGACGCTTGACCTTGTTCTTACGTGACATTTTGTTGGATTGCCTTGAAAAGCAAAGCTCGTTAAGGTGATTCGATGGACGCCATATCTTGTGTCAGAACGACATGCGATATATCGCATCAATTGGTTCTATTTTCTCAGCTACTCGTCATTTTTCTCCAATTTTGAGATCGCAATTCTGTCGTCAGAAGACTAAAGCACTCACTTATCAATTTTAACAAAGAAATTCAACGTGATAAAGGCGTGGTTTTTTTTTAGAGAGAAAATATCGCATTCAAGTGCAGTTTCGATATCAGTATCGCGTTTTTAAAACTTCTTAGTTTTCGAGTAATAAATTCGCGAAAATTTTGCCGGTTTTTAACTTTGACCCCCCGCCGCAACTCCCCAAAATTTTTGGGGGGCTTGAAACTTTGAGAAAAGATGGAGCATTGTTAGGTGATTGAATAGGGCAAGTCTCAAAGGTATCCGCCCCGAGCCCCGAATGACCCGTTTTGCACGTAGTCCTTTGATCAAACTTTGCTCAAATTTGACAAAAATTAAATTAAGTTGTAGTTACAAGTGAAAGTGAAAAAGCGAGTAGGTTGTCGAAACATCCAGCAGTGTGAGTCCACGACCATCCGAAACGATCGTGATATTTGTAATAATTTTTACTATGTTATCTCAAAGGTAGCGGAAAAACACAAACTTCTACTTTATCATGCAGTGTAACCATTAATGTCAAGACTTAACGTTTTTACATCTTCACTATTCAATACAGTCACTTTATAGCGAAGTGCAAGTCTTTTCTCCGTGGTATAATAAAATGTTGAAAGTCAACTTACCTCAGAATACGATTTTTCTATTGACGACTTCTTTAATACGAAGCCCCTGAAACAAAAATCCCGAAAAATTAGTTCTGGATGATCGGAACGAATAGGAGCAGCAAAATCTGAATGGATCGGACCCTGTCCGTCTGGGAACGAACACCTGACCTATTGATGGCCGCAAAAATCATGGGACTTGGCCCTGTGCGACGGGAGAAAGAACGTCGCCAACGAAGAATAGTTGCTTGTATAAATTATCCCATCCCATCCCACCTATAATAGTTACACGACCTATCCCACCTATAATCCTCCCATCCTCCCACCTATAATAGTTACCCGACCTATGTCGTCAATTCTTTCGTTCACGATAACTATTGTTAGATTTACGTTAGCCTATTCAAATTTTGTACTTTTGTCCATTTTGGTCCTATAAAGAACTGTATAGATGTTTGGTTAAATCGCACTTACCGTTTACTTATAAACGGTAATTAACGTAATTGCCCTACTTACGCTGTTTTCCATTAATCTGTTTTTATGAAAGTTACATTCCTTGGTTTCCTTGGTAACCTTTGTTTGCTATCAGCTGATTTTTTATTTTTTTTTCATTTTTTTTCTTTCTTTCTTTTAATAAATCATTGCTAGGTTAGTTCTAATTTTTTTGACAGCATTTATTCTACCCCCCCTCCCCCCCAAGTCATTTTTCTAGCTCCTTCACCCTCTCCCCTCAACTCATTTTTCTAACGATTTTATCATTTATTTCATGGCATGTCTTGCTCCCCTACCACCATTTTTCCGGGGTTATAGATATTTTAGCGGCCTATAGACCCGTGACTCCATTCACGGGCATTTCGCTAGTATTTAATAAACAAAACATTGATTTGAAGTTTTTTTCATTGATCCTTACGGGGTAATGAGACTTCAAACACATTTCAATCCCCTTCAAGTCCTTGTAACTTGGTTCTCTTCCGCTACTCAGCTACGATTCCAGTAAGTTGGCAAAACTGTTGATGCGACTCTATTCTATCCGTTCAATCGATTGTTTTACTTAAGGCCTGAGTACACGCTCAAATTTCTATCAATTTCCAATCAAATGGTGACTGGTGCGCACCATCTACCATCAATTTTTTACGGCCTGCAAAAATTTGATGGTAGATGATGGAACTTTGAGTCTCATCCGTCACCTGAATTCCACACAACCGTGCTTATTTCATGCTTATTCCAATCAACACGCTGTTTTAATTAATTTTAGATAGCAATTTAGATAACTCTCGACTGCCATTTTCGTCATCATTTTGATCGGAAATTGACGGAAATTTGAGCGTGTATCCAGGTCTTTACGTTTAAACGGAAGAAAAAGAGTGTTGCCAGCTTTCAATAATCGCTACGCTGCTAAAAAGTAACCTTTGATCAGATCATCGTTCCGAAAATTTTCATTGCGCTCTTTTCTCAACCTGCACCATCAGTTTAACCCAACTTGATAGGCTGGAGGAAAGCAAAAGCCTGCTTCGCACTTTACATTCCCGTGCGAGGGGTAACGGCGAAAGCCGTACAAGCGACGAAATAACACGAAAATTCTGATACAGCGTTGCCAATTTTCCTGCAATCTCCAATATCCACGTTGGTTCCCACTGGAAAATATTACTGATCCTCCGAAGAACGGCTACCCAACCCTATGAAGCGTGGGTAGCGGTAAATCGACTTTCTCGCGAGAAAATGGAGGAGCGCCAGTGGGTGGGGGGTGGGGGTTAGAGGGAGAGGGAGGGGGAGGGGTAGCCGACTTACCTGATAAAAATAAAGGAACGAAATCGGTTCAGTCCCGCCGTTAAATCCCCCAAAGATGAGACACTCAAATTCCGGGAGGCTCCCCTATCTAATTGTAAAACATCACTTACCGACTTGATCTCAATTGCTAACGCGGATCCCTGAAGACGCCAAATTTATGTCGAAACGCGATAATTTCTAATTTCCTGCCGGAAATTTTGACATTTTATGGGATATTTGACAACCCTGGTCGAGGCCCCCCTGACATTCGCCCCCATGAGTGATTTGGGAGGCTTTGATTAGCGCCGCGAACGCTACGACCACATCTGCCGAGCTATACGCCAAGGAATACGCCGTATGAGCTTCCATACGTTGCCGGATTTCCCCCAATTAAGCATGCATTTATTTTAGAAATTTGTAAATATTTTCCTTCCTAATTTGTAAATAATTCTGTTTGCAATTTTATCTTATCTAAAAATTTTAAGGAGAAATAACCATTACTTCCCTTTTAATGAATAATTTCATAGCGAGAAATTTGGCAACATTCAAATGTTCATGCATTGTTTTTTTCTGAGCATAGCAAACATTTTGTGCCGAAATGTACTTTGCTCTTCTTCTGAACGTCACGCGTCAAAGCCTCAACGTCAATAATGACGTAAACGTGTGCCCTTTTTTCCAGAGAGAATCACATTCTTTCAATTCACGGCGTAGATACCTTCAGTCCGTTTGCCATGTTCACAGCAACTTTACTGCGAGATTGAAGTGACCAAATTATTTTGCCGGCAATGCATTACTTTAACTCCTGAATATTCTTCGAATTTGCATCATTTTTCGGGCAAAATACTTCTTACGCATAAAAGAATACTGAAAAATACGCCTAAAGCTACAGAAAATCTCAGGAACGCTGTATAGCAGAGATAGTCGGGGGGCATACGTAATCCCGTGTGCAGATTCGTGAAGGCATATTGTGTGATACATCAATCTCTTCGTTTTGATGTCTAGAAAAAGAAAATCGATGATGGCCATCTCAAATTTCACACAAACCCCCCCCAAATTCAAGATGGCGGCCAAAATGGCGGTTTTGGGGTAAAAAAATTTAAAGTTTGCAAATACGTCGTGTCGGGTGTCGTTTCTTATGTATTTTTGATCGTAGAATCCGAATTTTCAGTCAAAAGTTAGTCCAAAGGTCATTTTTAGGCCAAAATCCAAGATGGCGTCCAAAAATACCTCTTACGGGTACTAATTTGCCTACTCGGGTCTACATGCATTGTGAGGTATCAATTATTAGGTTTTCAGGGTCGTAGAGTCC